CTGTTTTGGGCCTAGTAGGCCTCCCTGCAGCCTCCTGGGAGCAAGAACGGGCCATGGGGGGGGGGGGGCTTCTTGAAGGGGCAGAGCAAGAAGGGGCAGGGCCAGCCAGCAATTTAACAACTGGTTGTCCCAAACTGGCCCGAAGTGGCTGAATCCCACCACTGAGCAGTAGCCACTTACTTGCCTGCTGGGAAGGGATGGGAAGAGAAAAAGAGAGAGAATGGAAGGGAAATTTCCAAATCTTGCTTCCTGCAAGATTTCCACAAAAAAAGCTCCCTGGGGAAGCCAGCAGGAAGTCGAAAGACACTCCTGCTATTTTTATGCCTGCCCTTGTTCATTCTGTTTCTCTGTTTAGGTAAGAAAATATCTCTGAAATGAAGACCCAGTGGGTCACAGATCATCTAGTTCCAAATAAATCTAGGTAAGCAACTAAGGTGGCATTGTTAAGAAACCCAGCGCAGAGAGATTTCCGTAAAGTCCAAGGGCCTGGCTCAAGCCCAGAACAAACAATATGCAGTGAACGAAGCCGGAGCGATGCAGTTCTGTAGAAAACATTAAGGGTTTGCCACCATTATAAAAAAACCCTGGTAATTAATCATATTGGGACGAGCTGTATGTGCCTCAAACAAGAGTCCGCAAAACTGGGACGCTCGCGGGATCTTGGTGGTAACATCAGCCCCCTCCCCCCCCCGGGGCAGTCGTGTGTGCTGGGCGGGGTGTAGCTCCTGATTTTTTAATTTGGACAACTTCCGCATGATCAATGCAAAAGGAAAAAAAAAAACCCCACACAAATTCCCTTGGGTGAGAAATAGCCTCTGAAGCTGGGAGAAAGTGAAGTCTCTTTGATGCTTAGTCAAAAGCGAGATGCCAGAGATGGCAAATAAGAATACTCACCAACACCCTCCCCCTCAAAAAACCCCCAGTTCCTGCTCATTTAAAAAAAGGGGGAGAGAAAAAAAATCTCATTTAAAGGCTAATTGGAACACCAGGGGAGAGCCATATATTCATTAAAAAGGCAACAAATTTATAAAAGCTCGGTGCTGCCATATTAATGAGGCAGAAGAAGAATGCGGTTAGATTAAAACAACGGCCATAGTAATGAGATCTCATGCTTTCGGTTTTGGGGAGAGAGAGAGAGGAAGGGAGGGAGGGAGGGAGAGAGAGAGAGAGAGAGAGGGAGATGGATAGATAGATAGATAGATAATGGGCATCATCGTTGGAAGATAATGTTTGTTAGTAGCTATGCATTTCCGCAATTGCTCGATCCGTTTTGCAGGACTTGGTGGAAACCAATGCTATCTTTCTTGTCTAAATGGCCAGGTTTTCCATTGAAGTCCACAACTCATAAAGGGGGGGGGGCGAATAGATCCCCCCCTATGCTGCAGGAGAGGAATAG